ATGAAGCAGTTCTTTGGAGAGATGAGGAATGTAACGAATGTTTCGCAGGAGATCGTGGAAGGGAGACAGAGGACAGCACACACCTCGGATGATGAGTATACGGAGTTTCCACGGAGATGGTAACTGGAACGAACTAGGGAACGGAACACAGGAGAACACACTGGAGGAAACACAGGAGGTAAGTATAACAGACAGGTAGGTCTTTCAATGTATCTCACAGATAGCATAGAGAGAGTCCACTTCGTAGAAACGAAACCGGACACTGGAGTGAAGTGAGGTGTGTGCTTTTGTATGGGTGATGATGAGATTGCCAATTACCAACAGGTGCGTGCGATCAGTATTCAGGTGATGGTGTTCGCTGTGATTGGGAGGTGGCTGAGCCTGGCCGATCTGTGACAGTACTCCCCCCTCCCGAAAGGTGCGTCCCGCGCCGTAACAATTCCACCGGGGAGGGGGGGCGGGCGCCGTGGAGGCTGGTGCAGGACTGGAACAGGATGGAGCCAAGGAGAGCCTCCAGGGCGGATCAGGGAGCTCTGGGAGCCATGGCGGAGCAGGCAGTTCGGCAGAGCAGGCAGTTCGGGTCGCCATGGCGGAGCAGGGGCCTCGGGTCGCCATGGCGGATCCTGGACCTCGGGAGGCCATGGCGGTTCAGGGGACTCGGGAGGCCATGGCAGATTGGGCAGTTCAGGGGGCCATGGCGGAGCAGGCAGTTCAGGGAACCATGGCGGATTGGGCAGTTCAGGAGGCCATGGCGGAACAGGCAGTTTCGGGGCGCCATGGTGGAGCAGGCAGTTCAGGGGGCCATGGCAGAACAGGCAGACTAGGAAGCCATGGCGGAGCAGACAGTTCAGGAGGCCATGGCGGTGCCGGCCATTCTGGAGGAGTGGCGGATCAGGGGCCTCGGGCAGCCATGGCGGATCAGGGGACTCGGGAGGCCATGGCGGTTCATCCGTGGCCTTAGCTGGCTCGGCCACCACAGCCGCAGGCATATGGCCCCCCCCCCCCCCAAAAAATTTTCTTGGGGAGGTATCCTGGGGGTCGCTCAGGACGAGCGGGCTCAGGCGGGCACTCAGAACGAGCGTGCACTTGAGGGCGCTCTGGAGGAGCGGGCACTTGGCCTGGAGCCGACACTGGAGCGGGCACTTGGCCTGGAGCCGACACTGGAGCGAGCTCTGGGGCTGGAGCCGACACTGGAGCGAACTGGGAATCAGGAGCCCTCCCCGGGCTTAACGAGGAATCAGGAGCCCTCCCTCGGCTTAACGGGGAAACAGGAGCCCTCCGTGGGCTTAACTGGGGATCAAGGTAGTGCTTATGTGGTGCTGGCACTGGAGGGCGCTCTGGAGGAGCAGGCACATCAAAGCGCTTTTGAGGAGTTGGCACTGGAGGTGCAAGGCTGGTTACCTCAGGGGAATCAGGAGACGAAGGAGGGCTGGACTGGACCAGCGGAGACGAAGGAAAACTTTCTGGAGATGATTCCGGGGCGAGGACAGGAGCCGAGAACTCCAGAGGAAGCGCCAAATCCAAGAGCGCTGGTGCCTTATTTTCTTGGCTGATGGCTGGAATGGATCTTCGACGGGATCCGGAAGGCACGGGTGGAACGAAGGGAGCGGTATGTGGAGGGTGCTGGTTTATGGTGAGCTGGAGCACCCACATGCTTCCGGATGGGATCAAGACGATTATCTTCCATGTCAACAAAGAAATCGGAGTCATTCAAATCGAGGACGTAATTTATAAAGTCTGCTACGGGTCTATAACAATCGACAGGAGACAGAAATCGGAACAATTTATCATCGTCCAGTCCCATCCGGAAGCAAGCATTAAGCATATGATCACGCCAAATGCCTTCCATCCTGCTCAGTCCATCTTCTTGTGGTCCGGTCTTCTGTAACGGAAGAGGTCTGACGCAACAGGTT